TGTCACCTGAACGTAAAGAAATTCGACTGTTTCCTGGCGACCAATCTGGGAGGGGAATATTATGTTATGGACCGGGAATAACAAAACCGGAGGTCACGTGATTGAAAAAATATAAAACCGGAAACAGAAAGCAACACATTTGAGCGCGCGTTTGCAAAGTTCATTCACACGTTTTCTTTCACRAAACATCATTTTTGTTTTGTTCTCTTTGACACTTAGTATGATAATAAAAGCKATATATTTTGAGCTCGCTACGCCTCAGGTAACATCAGCGGTCTCGGGACCACAAAACATACTGTTTCCCTCGGTCTCAGCAAATGAGTTTTAAATAAATGACATGGAAAGTGTGGACAACAAGAGCAAAAATAACATCAAAAAACGACCGTTTCAAGCTACACCGTTACGACCCTAGCGATACTGGCGTCGGATTGATATTCATTGAGATGTAGAATCATTTGCGAGGGGGGGGGGGGGGTCAAACAATTCGACTAAAATCCTCTCTTTCCCATAACTGTGGCAAAATCACGAATACATTTTAATTAAACTTTCTAATCTGATTTCTATTTATGATATTCCATGATCTTAAAGTGCCCCTAATGCCTAATCACAGACCTTATGTAAGTTGAAGATGTGATCRTGATAATGCGAAAATCCAAAATATTTTTTAAAAATTGGATGCATTCCTGATTTTTAAATGAGTTTTGAAAACGCGCCTTTTGACATAAAGACCGCGCGTAAGGGGGAATAGTACGTCATCGGGGTGATACGCTCCAAAAGTGAAAGACTTGTGCATTCTTCCAATTTAGATTCACTCGTACAATGAGTAAAAGCTCAATATTTCGGCATTTTTTCTTTCTTTCTTAAAACTTTTAAAAACAGCACCCTTGACCCACAAGAAAAATGGTKTATCACCCCGATGACGTAAGTCTACACAATTTTTCAGGCTCCTCAAACGCGGTACTGAAATTTCGAGAGTGACCGGACACGAGACATTATGAAATAGGAGACTGGGTATTAGGAACTGTTCGAGTTGACAAATAATCCTTTGCGCGCTTCGAGACGAAATCACCTGATAATTAACGATATTAAGGTCAACCACATTTACAACTGTTAAATATTTTCCGCCCACTTTCTTCGAAGACTTTTATGACGAAGCGGAAGATTTTACAATTTAGTTGCCTTTATGAAATGTAAAGGCGTGGTGCACAGAGTTGTAAAGCTATATTAARGAACGCAAAGCTCAATTGGACGTTATTGACCCCCTTTACACAACAAGACCGTTACTAGGCTTCCTTTTGACCTGACAGCTGATTAGCATTAACAACAGACATGATAGAAAAATCACAAATATAATGTATTTTTACTCACAGTGTACTTGGATAAAAATTATCTTGACGGCAGTGAACGTCTTGCATTCCATTTTGTTTATTGCGACAAAGTCGTACCACCCTTGGTCTCCTCGTTCTATCTCTTGCAACATAAGATTCTTGCTATTCCAAGTATTTTTGCTGTTGTTCCAAATCGTGGTTATAGGCTCACTTCCGGAGATATGACAAGACACAGATCCATTATTTCCTTCTATGAATGTTCTGTTTCCACATCCAGAAATAGTAGGTGGTACTGAGGAATAAATTCAAGTTGAAAACATGTTAYGCAACAAGTTTAAAAATCAATCAAGGCTTCATAATCAGGAAAAATTCTTAAAGCCTCTATAATATCAAATTATTGATAGTTCTATGATGCACTTCTAGTCCAGCTGATAGGAGCACAGCCCATTTTGTCTTGTCTAATATCTTGTCTTGTCACCAGCTTATCTTGTCTTGTCCTTTTTTGTTTTTGTTTTGTCTTGTCTTATCCATTGCTTTAGTCAATCAGCAACAAATAGATTTTCTCCGCACGGCCCAGCCACTTAGCTTGATTAGCTATTTCTATTTCTAATTGGCTGTGCTCTTATCACCTGCAATTTCAACTATTATTATTTATATCTGTAAACTATTGAGCRCAATAAAGATTGATTTGATTTGAATTGATTTGAGGAATCMCTATCTTCAAGTTTTGTTTAATATAAATGTTTTCTTACTTCATTTATTGTGTTGCTTATTTATAGCGATATTTCTTATGCTGTTATGTATCATATATTCTTTAAAACTTTCCAATGCTGTTTTAGCTACAAACGTGACAGCTTTTCCTTACAATATCTAAAGGTTGCGGCAGGCTAACGTCACTTACCGAACACGWTCACTTGTGTAGACGTTTCCTGGTCTAGGACGTCTTTCGGTGTTTTATATGTTATCTTATAAGACCCGCTGTCCTTTGGAACGGCAGGATCAAATGTGATACACACAGTGCCATTCTGCAAATCGGCCGTAGCCTTTACTCTGTCTTTGTATGCCATTTCCATGATGTGACTGTCATTGTAGAACGTGGTCTTATTCAAAGCCAATGTGATTATACTTTTACGCGCACTAGTTCCATCGATTTTAGTATAGGTAGCCTACATTAGAGGTACATTTGATTGACATGTAATGGAAAAGGCGCTACCGACAAACACAGACTGACTTCCGGTACAAACAAGTTCACCTATAAGGAAAAGAAGAAAAAAATATCGAAATGTTTATCCGTGAGTCATACAAGCACATACTCTAAAGATATAGGAATATAGATAAGTTATTCCGGGCGAAAGACCCTTGGAATTAGCAGGCCTGCTCTCAGTCTGACCTCTAGCTCAGCTGGTAGAGCATCGGTAGTACAATTCCGAAGGTCGGAAATTAATTTTTTCCGAATTTAATTCCAAGGGTCTTTCGCCCGGAATAACCTCATTCCCAAGCACTATAACTTATCTATATTTCTATATCTTCATGTATTTCATAAGTGCTACGCTGTCCACATATTCTCATCTAAGCACATACTCTATTAAGTCAACGCTTTCATCATTTGTCAGGACCACTTTTTTCATCGCTATGCCCTGATCATGACAACGGCCTATTTACGGGTTCTCAGTAGAATTTGACTTCTGTTGTTGCTAGCCAAACCAACCTCTTCTATCACGCTCGGCTCACAAACTAACACTCCATTTTAAATTACTGGTGCACCCACCCTGAAAAAATTCTAGATCTGCCCCTACACATTAACTACAATGGTTATCATTTCATAGAGAACGCAACGAGCCATAGTTATTTTAACTCGTGGTTGGATTAAGAGAGAGAAGTGCGCATGGTATTTTGGGAAAAAAAGTATTTTGCAATAATTCGCTAAGTGTGTGCGATTCAGAGATGTTTCAGTACTGTGATGCTTGCGATATGCAGATTGAAGAGGAGAGTACAGGTTATTAGTGGTGAAATAATTGTTTAGCTGAAGGTACACTGCTTTCTCTGAAAGTTTAGACAAGTAGGAAAGGTTGCTAACTGGACGATAGTTCTTAAACTCAGGTGGAGCGGCGGGTTTCTTCAGAATTGGAGTGACAACAGCACTCTTGTAAGCTGTATGAAAGACGCCTGATTGCAAAGAACTGCTGACAATCTTACAAATAGTTGAAAGCACAGTCCATGCGACATAGGAACTGGATCAGGGCAGCCGAATTTTGGTGGTGATGCATTAGCAATGCGTTTTTCGAATGCTGTCAATCTAAGACCAGCTAAGTAAACCGCACTACCAAATCTTATATTAATTGTCAAGTGACTCGGAAGATAAATGGCAAATCACCTCTCTAGCCAGCAATACAATAGTTATGAAATTCCTCTATATAACGTTAAAACAGCGGGGAAAAAGCATCAATTTATCAATAAATTTTAGTAAAAACCTACAATCTTTATCATATTTTTTCCCTATACAATATATATATATTTGTTTATATTTATTTGTCAAAATTTTTATTTATAAATAATGGTCCGCCGTCTGCCGCATTTTATCCACACCCTGTCGCAATATTACCCTGAGAGCAGAGTCTCATTTTAACCCTAAATAAAGGCTCTGCTCACAGGGTATCGCAATATCAATCATTTTAATCAAATTATCAAGCCTTATCTAAAAAAAAACTAGATTTGCACTACTATTTGAACACAATATTTGAACACCAGTTTGCGACTCTTGTGACCGTAGAGAACATACACCACCAAATGACTAAATTTCCTCGCTAACAGTGGAATCAAACCTAGATGAGTTATGAAATAAAGTAAATTGAAGCGACGCCACCTGCGTGTCTAATTCGGTATTTTGTCAAAGGTCAAGATAAGGGAATTTCCCTTTTCAAAGCTTGTGGTGGGACGGAATTCAAGTTATTTGGTCAACGAGCTGAGTGCTAGAGTATTTTTACTCAGTTGCGACATCCAGCCACCTGTGCTTCGAGGGTTTTCCGGGTTCCCCGGCTTTCCTCCTTCCGCAAAAATCAACTCCTAATCAATTCCGATTGGAATTACAGTGGATGAACAGCTACTCTGTAGAAATGCCACTGCCAAATCCCATCATTATTATTAGTTTAACTGGAGAATGGTAGATATTGATTTTGTTATTTCACGGTCTTATGTCCCGATTCTTTCCATCACAAGAGAATATAGTGCAAACAATACATCCGTGAAATATTAGTAATACTAACTTACACTATTTTATGAGAAGATATAACTAGTTAAAAACTAGTGTGAGCTGCGTCGGTGTTTCTAATGAAACAGTAATGATGAAATTTTATACTAATTCTATTGTTTTCATTTGTTTAACTAGCACTATTTAAAAAAATTTAGTAATTAGTGTTTCACGGATATATTTTTTGCACTCTACTCCGAGAGAATAAGCCACTTCTTAGCTGACCTCCCTGTTAGGGAGGCCAATTGAAAATTGAAAATTGAAAATTGAATTGAATTGAATTAGGGGAAGAGAAAAGGTTTTAATAGACGACCTGTTTGACCTCCCCCAGAAGCGATTCTGAATATCTATGAATATGAGTCCGACGCTGGAAATCCGGTCAAGATAATAAAGTGTTTCCGTGGTCGGAGAAAACGGATATTGACTATACAACGTGCTGAAATATAGGAATGCGTAAACTGATTTTTCCACCACTGTCAATGAAGCGTTTTTGTAAAATTGCTCTATACTGGCTCAAAAATGACAAAACGGATAAAAAACAAATCTTATTTTAAACATTTGCGTGCTGTATCCGGCTCTTYCCCTAACAGTTGCTAAATATTCACTAATAATTTTCTTTTAAACAGTCTACTCTGGTTCCTCTTCATAATATTTTATGGTCTTGAGTACAATACACTTTCAATTTCATTTAATAAACTGGCCCTCAGCCTCGGATTGGACTCGGATTACAAGTCACAATCTTATCATTCCAAAGACTGAAGTGGTATAACTTTTAACAAACATCCAACTTACCACTTTTCAGTCTCGGGAACGAATTCTATTCACTTACACCATTCATATTATGCTCGACTTCCTTCTAACCATGTATCAGACCAATCTATTTTATGAATCTCACTGATTTTGCTTCCATCCTCGGAATGGACTCGGATTACATTATTCAACTTCGGATTGGATTCGTCATAAGGATCGTAATACCATAACCATAACCTACCTAAATACCGACATAACCATAACCATAAGAAATGATTAATGCTTGTGCGGTATTTTCGTGTGATTATAAAAACGTTGGTCTTTAAGTTATATAAACTCAATTGAAGAATCGTTGTCGGGTTCAGAAACATAGAACATAGAAGCTGAGACCGAAATGGCACATGG